AACGGCAGCAGGGTCTGGAAGTCGGAATCACGACGATCGCCCGAGGTGATCTGCCATGGACGGTGAAGGGCACCAGGAAGAACGATCCCCCCGCGGTCTGTTGGGGGCTTTGCCATGGCTGTGACCTGGAGCGCAATATCGGGGAAGTTGGCCTGATTCGCACGGGTGGGCAGGCCACCAAGGAACAACTTGCCCCCGGCCAGGCTGCACCAAATCTCCGTTGGAAACTCCAACGCCCGGCGATCCACACGGCGGCCTTCCCGAGCGAGCCTATCATAGCGAGACTCGGCGTCCTCACGCGGCCTCTTCTGACCGCGGCCACGACCAGCATCTGCAGCAGCCCCTGCCCTCGAACCGGAAGACCTTGGCCTGTCCACCCAGGAAGCCACCAAGTGTGGGCGAGGCTCCTCCTTAGGCACAGCTCGGCGCTTCTTAGGCATAGCCTTCTGCTTCGTACCGGTTCCTCCACTTCGACCTCGACCTCCACGGTTTCCTCCTCCTCCGCGGGCACGACGGGCAAAGGAGGCGGCCGAACACGAGGCAGAGGTGGGCGGGTCGCTCCCGCCGCAGCCTCTTGAGCCACAGTAATGGCCGGTGGAACGTCACCCGGCTTGACCAAGCGACGGTCACTCGCCCGCTGGGTGCCTTCCGCCACAGACACGCCCTGACCGCAGAACAGCAGCACACTGGTGGGCCAGTTCGCAATTGGCAGCCCGACAGGCTTGAGACTGAAAGGCCGGGCAAAGGCGCATACCATTGCGCAGGAAAGCAGAGCACACTCGCCCATTGACCTGGGCTGGCATAACCGGCTCTGCCGGCGACCTGCGGGTCTCTCCCGCGGTAATCGCTCGACTCTGCGGCGGGCTCGGAGGGCCGTCTCCTTGAAGGCGAGCTTGCTTTGAGGGCCGGGGGTGCCCGCGGGAGCGCGCCAGATCACCGTAGCATCGAGGCGCACCTTCTCGCCGACTTCCTCGCGCAGGCCTGGATCGGCGGAGTTGAGGCGGCCCGGCGGCACCTCGGACCAGGTGTCAAAGGACAGGCACCGAGCCGTGGCCGAGAGCACAAGGTGCTTCACACGCACGCTGGCAGCATAACGAGTGCCGCTATAGTGCAAAGGCATCGCCGCACCGGTCTCACGGATCTTGCCCTTGTCCTGCCAGTCACCCAGCGCCAGCATGCTCAGCTCATCCAACTGGAGCAATGTACCCACAGACGGCGCCACCCGCCGCCATGAGTAGGTAGTGACCGGCGGCTCCATCCCGCTGAAGACCTCCTGCGTCAGCATCGTGACCTGGC